CTTATATAATACATACACACACACATACATATCCCTTAGATATACCTCACCAGTCCCCATAATCTAGGGCTTTGGTATGGACATACAAAGTCAAATTATTTTCAGAGTTATATTCCAAAAGATTCTTAAATCTCTAAAAAACTTGGACAAGAAAGACTGATTCATACATTTTTAGATAATACACAGAATTGTCTACTGCTTGGTAAATCTACCCACATAAACCATTATTCAGGTTGCAAATGCTCGTACTCTATTTGACCATGGTAATCCAGATACCATCATAAAAGCTTCAGCCCAAAAACAGTAAACTAAGGACTTATTAAAATAAAGCTAAAATGTATATATCATTCCCTTATTGGGCTAGGCAATTCTAATGCTGAGTAGAATTCAGCATTAATCACAGCCAAGACCTGGACAAAGTCATGTCTGCAATGAAAGGAATTGAAGATGTTTCTGTCACTTCTTTTTCTGCGAGGCAAACATTTACTAAAAACATCATTAAAACCCTGACGTCTATCTACCTGACATATCAAGTGTATTCTGGAGAGACCTGATCTTTCAATTCAACAAGCATTTTTCAAGTGCCTAGGTGACAGGCATTGTGCCACAAAAATGAGGAATCACGAAGCTCAGTCCAGTAAGGAAGACTTCTGCTCCCCTTATTCCATAAAGATAAAAAATGTTTCCTTTTTCAAATGCAATTTAACTGCCAAATTTCAGCAACATTATTTTAAAATTACATAAAAATGGAATGATACCTTCCCCACCCCGAAAGCAGTCAAAACTTTACTGTAAAGACATTCTAAACTTTCAAAGTATTTGTAGGTAAAATAACAAATATGAAAGTGGCTTCTCACCAAGCCCTTTAGCCAACCAGTTGTTGACTCCCTGGGGTGCAGCATCATAGGCTGTGTGAGGAGAGTAGATAGCTACTCTGTTCTCCAGAGCTCGGATCACCAGGCGTTCCTTCCAGGTGTTCCAGGTTACGCGTTTCATGGGTCGGAAGATAGGCGGATGGTAGGAGAGAATGAGGTCTGCCTTCTTCTGCAGCACCTCCTCCATCACTTCCTCAGTCAGGTCATTTGTCAGGAAGAGGGTATTTACAGTATGTGGTGGGCTTGGTTCCACCAGTAATCCAACATTGTCCCAACTCTCAGCAAAGGAGAGGGATGCAAAGTCATTCAAGGAAGAAAGGAGAGCCTTCAAATCCATGAAGGAACGGGAAGAATTGCAGATCAGGGAATCTATAAACCGGACTGTCGTGGGGACCGGGCGTACACAAGATGACAACATACAGAAATCAGGTAAAATTCGTTTCTGAAGTCAAAACAAAGAAAATGGTACACACATACACTTTAGGCCTGGATCTGTGAGGCATCAAATCATATGGACAAAAGAGTTGTCATCATAGAGATCTGGGTTCAAATAGTGGCCCTGCCACTTACCAGCACACTGTAGCTTAGGTAAGCCATTTAACCTCTCCAGTCTTGTTTTCTCACCTAGGAAATGAAGATGCTATAACCCACCTCACAGGCCATCCAGAGGAGCAAATGAATTATGTAACCTAGCATAGCCTAGTACATAATACACAAATGTCCATCCTGTCTCCTGCCTCACACACCCTTGTTCTCATTCTTCCCACTCTTGCTTCAACCAACCTTCTCCCTAATCCATTTCTCTAAATATTACCTTCCCTTTTCCCAAGCCCCCTTCAACTTCTTAAATAAAACTTTTCTTGACAAACCTTCCTTTTCAGCATCCTTCCCAAGGCTCCCCACCCCTCAGTGCTCTCAGAATTCCGTGTATGCTCCATTATGCTGAAGCTACTACGGAATAGGAACTATCTTTAATAAATTTCGGTATAGCCAATATAAGCCAGCACTAAATGCTACCTGCATAGAATGACCTTGCCTACCTCTCGATTACAACAGAATTTGGAGTTGGGTGGTATATACTGGCATAAAACATGCTTTATGAAAAACCAGAATAACGTTTAAAATTTCAAGTGCTTTATCAGCATTAAGAATCAAGGCATACATAAGGCTGGGCGCGGTGGCTCAAGCCTGTAATCCCAGCACTTTGGGAGGCCGAGGCGGGTGGATCACGAGGTCAAGAGATCGAGGCCATCCTGGTCAACATGGTGAAACCCCATCTCTACCAAAAATACAAAAAATTAGCTGGGCATGGTGGTGCGTGCCTGTAATCCCAGC